CTTTGACGAACCAATCCAAAAGTGCAAAAACGGTTCGAACCGCTGAACCCAACCGACCAAATTTTTCATTTGGTTCACGTCCCTGCTAAATAGTGTGCTTATACATATGTATGTACGTATGTATGTAAATTTGTGCAAACTCAAATGAAACAAAGGAGAAAGGAGTTTATAAAAATGTGGTAAAGAAATAAAATTTAATTAGTACAACGGAGTTCTGATTGGACGATTCGTCAGAGGATGAGAGCTTAGAAAACTGGCCAGGAGCAGAAAACGTTTAAGAGAGTTTAGGTGTTCTCAGAGATCGTGCCAACGTATTGGGATTTTCTTTCATAAGTAAAACCAGACTTTCGAGCATGTGTTTAGTATTCACGACGTTAGAACTCCATGAAATTAATGAAAATTGTTTAAAATTAGTGTCTACCCGCAAAAAGTAAGAAAACAAAAGCAAAATCGTACATTTTTCACAATTTTCTAACACTTCGATACACCAACGAAAGCAAAATTCTGTCCGACAGAAAATTCGATACTCAACGAAAATTTCGACACGCTTGCATAGCTCATAATACGAATTTCACTTTCGATCTTCGATAGCCAGCGAAGATCGAAAATCGAATACAACTCATACTAAGGGCCTATATGTATACATACATACGTGCATTCAAACATACATATATACATATGTAGGTACTCGTACCCGTCATGCGTCGCTTTATTTCATTTTTACCCTTGCCTAAACTACCTATATCTTCGTTCTCACTCATGTAACGTTTTCAGTTTTAAAAATTTCACTCAACTAATTATGGCCCCTATTATGAGTTGCATTCGATTTTCGACTGTGGTCGAAAGTGCTGAGCGAACGAATTTTCATTTGGTATTATGGCGCTCATTCGATGAAGAATAGCGCTATTGTGAATTTCGCCCGTTTAGGTCGTTCACAATAGTATATTTTTCNTAAGGGCCTATATGCCAAATACACGACACAAATGCTATTACTTACGTTTTTTTTATAGAATGCTTTTAATGTGGCCACACTAACACCAGTACGAGAATGTTGCTGATTTAGACTTTGTTGTTTTTTTAATTTTTCCTAAAAAACTTAATAGTGATACAAAGGTCAATAACAATGTTGAAAAATTTCAAACTTTGAAAAACATTTTGTAATCGGTCAAAAATTCCCTACATTTCAAGCTTGTTTAAAAAACTGTCCTTTTTTCCCTACAGCCATTATTTTTCAACAAAAATACCTACGTGTAGACTATGCTTTAAAACATACAGGTTAACGGCTCTTGCATGCATAGATTGTTTTTAGCTGCGAAATGGCACACAAACATGTAATAAAAGTATATTTGTAAACGAGTAAAGATTGATTTTAGGTTATTAAATATAATTCTAACAATATTTACTTGTGAGGCCCATATCGGTTATCTAAAGGATTGTCGTTATTTAGAAAAGCTTTTCGGTTATTTAAAAAGATTTTTCAATGCATTCATTTGTGAACGGTTGTAGTTTGACAGCAGTTTTTTTGCCCGGGATAGTTCGTACAATATGCTTTTATTTCCAGGCATTCTTTCATTAGCTTGATTCAGATCTGTTATTGCTGATTCGTACTCCTTTAGGGCTATGTTTGCTTGGCCCCGTCGATAATATGCTTTACCACAGGCTTCATCTAACCGTAACGCCTAAGGAAAAATGTGTGATGGTAAAGGTAAGGTTAAAAATTATGTTGACATTTTACGAACCTCTGTGCAGGCATACTTTGCACTGTCATATTTTTCAAGCTTCAGATCGACTGCTGCCATATTAATTTGATTCAGGACCGAGAAAGCATCCAACGTTTTTAGATCTTCGTCACTTACAGTAAGATGTGTAAACTCCTGCTTTTCAAAGCGTGTACGAAGTAAATTGTAATAACGATTTGCTTTCCGATACTTCCGGCGCGCTTCACAATACTTTTGTTGGGTAAAAAAATGGTTCCCAGCATTTCGAATACCAGTTAGTAAAGTTACCATTTCTTCAGACTAAAAGAAGAAATATCTGTAAATACCTGCACATTTTTCAGAGATATAACAATTACTNATCAGACTAAAAGAAATATCTGTAAATACCTGCACATTTTTCAGAGATATAACAATTACTGTAAAATATGACATTTTTTTATCCCAATCTCGAGGGTAAGGCGGAAGTTTATCATCAGTCTCGTCATTATCTAAGTAACCCCAATCCTCCCATGGAAGTATTTCTCCACAGTCTGTGATTATAACGTTCTGCGAGAAATGAATGCATAATTTCTTGGTATTATCATCTATGAAAGCTCACCTCTTGCGGTTCACCATCATCATTGGAAACCAGTTCCATATCGGAAATGATAGACAAACCTCGGAGTACTTTTCCAACAACCACGTTTGTTCCATCAAGGTTATCGCACGACACAGATACGATGAAAAATTGAGAATTGTTTGTGTGGGGCTCACCATAATTAGCCATACTAATTGCACCTTCGTCATGCTGTAAAATGTTGCAATGTTTTCAAAACGTTTGAAGAAATGTTCTGTTTACCGGCAGGGTAAAGTTTTCATCTTCGAAAACGGGGCCATATATGCTTTCTCCGCTGGTGCCATCGTTGTTGACTACGTCTCCGCTTTGTGCCACATACACCCGAACTATTTTATGGAATCGTACTCCTTTGTAATGCAATTGCTTGCCTAATTGGCCATTGCCCTTTTCCCCTGTACAAAGAGCTCGAAAATTCTCCGCTGACTTTGGTACTACATCTTTTCTTAGCTCAATTACCATTCGCCCGGCTATAAAATATTTGGATTTAAAAATACATATACGTAACTAAACCTTCGGATTATAATTTACCAAATTCATCGCCAATAGTAATATCGAAATATACTAACGGATTGGTTTCACAAACCGGTTCTAATAATTTGTTCATTTCTATGAAACAGAGTACGAATAACTAACAAAACAAAGCTACACTAGGTATGAGACCATGGGCGTAAACACTAGCTATGGCAAAGTCGACTTCGAATTACGACAAAAATCGACTTTTTCCTTCTAAGGCGCCTGTTACACTATCAATACGCATCGCGATATATGGATCGTGATCCATATTGATGGATCTAAAAATATGGGAAAATTTCCCAATACGGAACCCGGCTTTAAAAAAAAAAACAAAAATGAGGGGGTTTAGAGCGGCTTTCTGTGATTGTAAATCTGAAAACCCCACCCTCCGGAGGCTTATAGTTTTTATGGAAATTGAATTTAAATTTGCAAAAAATGTCAACTTCAACCTCACTTTTTGCTTTGTAAACCAATTGAACTAAAATGTCGGTGCTGCCACACAACAAAAAAATTACTGAAAACGAGAAACAATAAAAACGGGCATTGTAATTATTTTTTTAAATTAAATATCGATGTATTGTTAAAAAAAAGTGATTCAGAGTAAAACGGAGAGATTTTGTAATAAAAATGATAACTTAGATATTTATCGAAGTATTGATTTTTATGGGAAAAGCGCCGCAGGCAAAAATTTTTAATAAAAAATCGCGCGATTTTTTATTAAAAGTTTTTATTATTTATCGAAGTATTAATTTTGATGGAAAAAGCGCCGCAGGCAAAAATTTTCATTACTTATCAAATTATCGATGTACGTTTTCTACATTTGTGTACTTTGAACTACAGTAAACCAGTAAATATTATTTCCTCCCGAAAAAAAATGATACCGTTATGATCAGGAGTAAGACCAGCTGACTTCCAAAACGTACCAATACAATGTTTGGATACTGTTCTACTGCGGTATTTAAACCGTTTATGTATGCAGAGTTGCGAAACATTGCATCCTTATACATTGCATACACTGACGTTAAGGAACAGTGCTGATACAATGTTTCTTCCCTTGATAATCAGCTGTTCTATTGTCAACTAGCGATGTTCCGATGACATAAAAGTATCGATAACAGTATGAAATGGTTTATAATCTGAGTATCGATGAAAATACTGGTATGTGTATCGGAAATAAAGAATAAATATTTTACCCTTTTGATACAAATACAAATTTTGACATAATATAAATGTTGAATTTTATGAAAATTAATAGGAATTATTTATGCGTAAAAACAAAGCACAAATCAAAAAGGTTTTATTCCACCGAATACCGAAAGGACTAAGCGCGAACTCCCGATGAAATTACATACGAAGAAATTCCAAATACTTTTTG